ATATATTACATGATATCATATTAATGCAAATTAAAAAAAAAATCGCCAATTTGTTTAGTTAATTATGGTAAAATCGTTACTTTTATATTAATGCAATCATATTTTATTAGCTATTCTTGTAGGTTCGGTTAAAAACGTCGACTCATGTGCACATTTAAATACTTAAAGATATGAATCCTAACGCAGTGGAATGTATTGCTAGGATTCAGGATTTACGTATCAAAATTTTTCAAACTCTGAGACGTTTACACAACCTATGGGGCTGGACGAATGGGTTTGAGACGCGTCCTCTTGCCCACGTCCTCGCCGTGCACTAGCCTTGTCGAGTCCTTGACAGCTGCCCCTTGGTTGTCACGGAATGCCGAGCATCACCGAGGTGTTGCCGAAGGAGCCGGTCAATGTGCGTGAATTGTCGGGGCACGTCGCTGCATGCCGAGTCGCAGGGAACGCTCCACGTAAAGTGCCAGCCAACTGTTAAGTGGATGGGAAATGTCGATTGAGGTGGACTTGCGTAGCTTGTAAGCTCATTCAACCACTTGTAGATGCTTGTCAACACCGAGATTGCGAGATCATCCTCCTGACCCTTGGCCATCATGCTTTTCATCTTGAAGGTGCTCGGAGGAATCATGTCGACATCGTTGTTGGGAAGGACGAATGTACAGATCCAACATGAGAGGTAGGCCGCCAAGTGAATTTCTTCTTGCGGCTTTGGCTTGACCACGTCCATCTTCTTAAACAAGAGATTTTTTGGAGAGGCCCAGTGTCAATGTTCTTCGAAGGTGCCAGGCGGATTATGAGTTAGCTTGAGGTGATGATCCTCGTCTTCTCTTCATTCTTCTTGTCAGCACGACTTGAAGGTTGTCTATACTTGATGGTCTTCCTCAGCCAAAACTGTACCCATCTATCGATTGACACTCGTCTGTCGTTGGCTTCTGTTTGTCCCATTTTTGTGTCTTTATTTTGAGTTTATTTTCTTTTTCTTTTTCTCCACTTGTAGGATTTTTGTAACTTATTTGGTCCAATTCTGTGGTTTTGTGTTTCTCTCTATAGTTTCTATTTGTGTGTCTTTTTGTCGTGTTTTGCTTCGTGTTTTCTTTCGTGTTTGTGTTTTCAGGAGGTAGGTTGTGTCAATCGAGGTTACGACTGCTTGAGCCAATCCGTGATATCAAGAATACCTATTGCCGAGCCCAGAACACTGAAGAAAGGAATGAAAAACAGACTGAACAAATGCGCCCAAAATTATTCGCGACTCGCGAGACGGTCACGACTCGCGAGAATTACAGAGACTGAATGAGACGTTCGCAAGCTCGAGTCGCGAATTTTCCCAGAAATTGAAGATTTTGACGATGCGCGGCTCGCGAAGATGCCGTGACTCGCGACTGAGAAAATTGATAAGTCGCGACTCGCGACTTGGCCGACGCGAATTTCGAGAAGCGGATTTTTACATCAGAATTTGGACGTAGGGATCATTATTCACTTCCAGACTTAGTTTTTACATTTTTTCTTTGGAGAAAACATATTCCTTTCATCGCTTTTTCACTTTTGATTTGTTTTGTGATGTAGCGGAAAGCGTATGAGTGGGATAGAATACGAGATACTCTCTCGAACTTAGGATACTCTCCCAAAAAACACGAACAATTTTAATTCATTCTCAAATTCAACTGCCGAATAACAAATAAGAGAGGTCTTTAAATAAGACATCCAAATCCTAAAATCTATCTTGTCCACCAAGTCACTAAATATAAATAAATATTAAATGCTAATAATAATAATAATAATAATAATAATAATAATAATAATAATAATAATAATAATAATAAGAATAATATTCTGCATCATTCTCCCCCGGTTGAGCAGGATTCGCCCTCGAATCCGACACGTTCCCGTGGGAGTAGCCCCGACATTTTCCTCGATCGAACACGAATGTTGAAGGTCTTCCAACAACCTCGAACGTAAACATAATCTCGGTCAAGGACTTAACTGCTTCAAAGGCGCATGTACACGCCACCATTCGCAAAGCCCACACAACTGAATGAACACAAAATACACCACCTTGTGTGCCGTGATCAAATCCATAACAACGGTCAAACAACCCGTTGTTGGGAGACGTCGCGAAAGGCAATCCGAAAATGGCCCACCAGTTATCGGGCATCGGCTTCGGCTCCGAAAAACCATCTTTGGCCAAAATACTCAAAAAATCGGGTTTGAATGACGACTTCCCATTCGATGACTTACTCGTTGCAACATCCCAATCGGGACCCATATTACTGTAAAAATATGTTGTCGTCACCGGATGCTCCTCATCAAAAATGGGCGGACCGCCGTAAATTGGCTCGTCAACGTGATCCTCGTCGAAGTCAAGAATGTCAGCGCGAAATGGGCTCACCAATTGACCAAATTCGCGACCAAAATTCTTATGCACCGGCCCAATTTCTGCAGATATTTCACAGGCCCAAAACACGCTATTGGATTGCTTTTCCTGAGGCCCACAATTATTATGAAATCTGCCTCCTTCACACGCACAAAATTCATGGTCAAAGAAAGCAATCTCTCCACTTTGTATATAGACCATACCTTTATTAAATCCAAAAAATCTAGCACCTCTGACTGTGTCAAAATCTTCGTCGGACCAGCGCTGCTCGCGGGCAAGGAAGTCGCCGCCGTCGACAGAGATGCGACGCCTCTCTTGCAGCCACCGTCGCGTGCCCCTCGCGCCGTCAGTGGCCCGGCGAAAATCACCGTCCGACCCTCTGCCTGCAGCAAATCGCCGGAAATTGGAGTCTGGGGCTGCGTGACTGGGTAAAAAGTGGGAAACGAAATAATCCTCTGGCCGACTACGAAATTCACGAAGCTGATTGAAGCCTGAAGTAGTTCGCCGGAAAACCCCACCTAGGGTTACGCGACTGGCCCTAAATCCGTAATTGAAACCCTCCTTTGGCTGGACCGTTCTCTGAAATCGGGTCGCTCCTAGGTTCTCCTCGTCCTTCCGCTCGCCCCCATGTACGAAACCACCTCCAGCCCGCCACTGCTTACGAGTTCGGGATTGACCGAGGGTGGCGGCTCCTTGCCACGGTGGTCGAGTTGTAAACGGGTTAGCCAACCCGGTAGAGTCGCCAACGCCGTTGCCGTTAAGAGGTGGCTGGGATCGCTGTCGGGGCGCCCCGACATGGTTGCTTCCACCACGACCGCCTCTGTATCCCCCGTGATAGTCACGGCCTCCATCACGGTCTGTCTGCCATTCCGTAACAACCACGTTGTTCGGCGTCAAACACACATCCTCGATCCCCGTCGAAAGATCTGCAAACAAATTCGTGAAACGCACGTCCAACTCTTGAAATCGGTAGTCAATCTGTTGAAACCGATCGTTGAAGGTGGCATCACGTTGGTTGTTTACGACATCTTCTCGTCCCGGCGGCATCGCGATCGTACTGACTGCTGATACCAACTGATGTAGCGAAAAGCTTACGAATGGGAAGATAAAACGATACAAGGAGATACTCTCTCCAAAACACGGGATACTCTCCCAAAAGAAAACACGATATCTTATTTCATTCAATATTCAACTGCCGAATAACAAATAAGAGA